ATTGTAAAAATCCTCTGCTGTTCTAATACAGCTATTATTTACACTTCACTTCAAACTAAAGCAAGTTGCAACTAAAATTGAAATCTTAAATGCTTTAAACACATCTTCTCTTTTTACAGAGCTCTTGTGAAGAATGTTTCGAATTTTCAATGTGCTAAAAGTTCAAACTCGAGGAGCTAAGAGGTTGCAAAGATGTTCCAGTAATGTGGCCTAAAGGAATTGAGTCTTTGCCACAAACTCGGATTTTTAAAAAACAATTTCTTTAAAATCAAATGTCGTAGACCTTAGATATTTCAAACTATGAATTCTGATTGATCAAACAATGTAAGTTTGAAATATTTAAGGTATGCATGATCTGGTTGTTGAGATATAGGTTTCATAAAAATGAGATTTGTGGCAAAAACTCAATTCCTTTGACCTACTCCTTTATCTGGTTCAGTGTGGCTTACGGAGGTGTATTCACTCAGCACCTTACTTGTTAAATAAAGAGAATTAAACATGCTGAAAATATAAGTTCCTTCTCTCACCATCCTTTACCCACCATCTCTATACAATGTGCAGTGTGTATTTCATTTAAACAAATATACAACTCTTACATCTGAGTATACAGGGTGATCATAAAGAATATTTGAATAACATAAAAAAGGAAGGATTTTTTTTTCTTAATTCTAGCTCATTTTTAAATCAAATATATATTACTGCGGAGTTTGTATACTAATAAATGTATGTAAAGCTAGAAACCTATTTAAAACATGATAAGCCATTGTAAACTAATTCCGGTTTAAATTGTTCATTTCGTTTGGTAATGGTACATTATTAATTAATTATCATGTTTACAATTTCTTGTTTTATTTAAAAATCTTTTAACTAAATTTAGACTCAATCCTATCAAGGGGCGTATTCAGAAATTTTTCCGGGGGGGGGCTCTAAAAATTTCAAAAGAAATTTCGTTTATTAGTGAAAATATAATTTTTTAATGATGCTGTGATTATTGATTTAGTTAGCTGTGATGGAGTTAAGGCATAAATTTATAAAGTTAAAAAGTTAAAGTTAGTGTTTGGACTGAATACGCCTTTGACCCTACCGTAAGTTTTCCCGCCCCCCTGTCCATGAAAAGTTGTCATTCTCCAAACCTTAAACCAATATTTAAGGTTAGACTGCAGGGGGATATTTCTGGACTAAATTTCGCGGAGAAGACAGGCTACGGGGCCAAACGCTGAATGTATCCAAAATTATTATTTTTCGTTTCTATATGCATGCTATTCTTCAAGGTTTCACCCTTGTTAGTGAATTGTTCATACATAATGTCACAATATTTTCGCTAGAAAAATACTCGAAGTTGTACTCGACGAGTTGGTAATCAATTCTTATAGGTCGAAATTGAGTTTTTGTGCATTTACATTTTCTATCTTTGTTCGTCAGATGTCACACTTATTTAGCTTAAATAAATATTTCTCTTTTTCAAAATTAATTTTTACTTTAATACAAAGAAGATTTAAAATACATAGATAGAAAAATAGTTGAATATATCTCTCTATTTATATATTGTTTAATATATCTGATTGGTTCTGAATAGTGCATACACATACAGAAGGACAGGAAGGGGTAAAGACTAAGCGAAGCTAATCGATGAAAGGTTTTTTTATTGAGTAGTTTATTTACATAATACACATCACCCATAGTCAGGTTTCCATATCTATATCTAATACAGGGTGAGTTATCAAACTTCTTAATGCACTTTTAGATTGAAGATAGTGCTATTTAACATAGTTTAAAATTACAGTAATGTAAGAACTTCAATTATTTATTCTTTAATTTTTCCTTTTAAAAAAATTATGTGTTGCAAATTGCAATCTACTTAAAATTTTCGTTCTCTCTTTTTTACTTATTAAGGATTATGCATATTAAAGAGAAGAATATTTTCATCCTCCCATTTGTCTCACAACAACAACAAAAATCATTGTTGAAATCAAGGTAAATTTTAGGGTAGACATATTTGCAAAATATCGTTAAAAAATATAAAAAGTCAGTTATCAAGTAACTTGAGTTTTATCTGTTGATATCCTTATCAACATGTTTGATGAAGTTTTGTTGTTTTACAAGGATATGCTTTTATTTATTTTTTCATTTTTTTCATAGTTGTCGAAAAGGAATTGAGTCTGTGCCACAAACTCTGATTTTCTAATCAACATATATTTGGATTCCAACGCCGTAAACCTTTGACGTTTCAAACTATGACTTCCGTTAGATCAAATAATATAAGTTTGAAATATCAAAGGTTTACGACATTGGGTTCCAAAGATAAAGAGATTAAAAAATCTGAGTTTGTGACAAAGACTCAATTCCTTTGTATATAATTTTTTTTATGAAAACTCGTTACAGTGTGCGTATAAAGCATACACACAGAGTAAAAAATGTCTGCCTGCAGTACGGTGACAATGCAAGAAATAAAAACTAGTTTGGAGTATATTGCTCTCTATATAATTTCTGCTCTATGGGCATACTACATACATATTGTACAGATGCATAAACAGTTCTATTTATATTTATATTTTTTGTATTAAACAATTTATTGAAAACTCATGATGACATGATACAAATGTGTAAACTATAATTTTTAACTTAGCTCTCCGTAAAAGTGTATAATTAAAGCTTTTTGACGCTTAAACTTAAACATATACTGTACTATATCTATTAGCGCGGTAATTAGATATTTATTAACTTCGAATATTGAAAAATTAATTAAATTTTGAAATATAAACGTTCTAGGGCAGATTTAAGGCTGATTTAAGCCCGCACTATAAATTTTTGGAAGTGAAAAATTATCCGATTTTATGGGTATGTAAGCGTAATTTTAAGTGACCCTTCATGCAAAGATGGCAATGCCCAATTCACATCGGTACCCTTTAAAACCTTTATCTGATCAATATCAAATCTGAGTTCGTTTCCCTTATGTCCATTTAACAGTCCAAAATTTTATTTTGAATAATCTTTTTTGTTTCTTTATTTTCTTGTGATTTTTAACAAAAAAAAGTCAACCCAGACCGAAATATATTTTCAATAAATGTGGAACTAACATCTACTTTTTTACTCTACAGAGGTTTGGTCCATCACCATCACCGAATTTAAACTTATCAATATTGTTGAAGATATTGTCGTTTTTCTAGATTAAAAGTGTTTTGATTCTGATAATTCTAAGATGTATGCAGGAGGCTCAAGTCACTTTTGTAACGAAACAACAATTGAAAATAAATACATTTCAAAATCATAAACATCGATTTACAATTATGCTTGATCAGACAAAGATGTTAAGGGAACCATTTTAAATCGGGTATTACGCATTTAATTTACGCACACAGCCCTTTAAACACCTTGGTTTGGTCTTGCATAAAAGCGTCAATAGTTTTTATACTTAATTGTTAAAAACAACTAATTATCTAATAATAAAAAACTAACTAATTTTAATGTCTTTTTCTGCCTAATTTACACTGAAGACGTAATTTCCATTTGTTACCTAAACTTTTGTCTGATCAAGGATGACAAACCAATTTTTTTTCTAATTAACACATGGTAGATATGTTTCATTAAAAAAAGCAAAAAAACTGTTTTGTTTTTAATTTTAAATGCATAAAAAAAAGTTGTCACTTATTAATTTTAATGAATACTAGTTAACAATTAAAAATATTTCGTAGAATTATAAACATGTGTGTTGGTGAAGGGGGGGGTGGAGAAGTGTTAAATTTAAAACAATATTCGTATTCTTTAAAATCTTGAAGTCTTCATAAAAATGACAAGTAAAGCTTTAGATATCTTTATTTAAAGTGTTTGTACGGGGTTTCAAAAATACTTTAACATGAATAACGGACGCAGTCATTAATTGTTACAAATTAACTACAGCTAAACTATGATCTCCTTGCAAAATTTTTTTTTACTGGTGAATACTTTTTATTTTTGGTGCAGAATGTGACAGTAGTCACATGTGTTTTAACTTTATTCGATATTACATATCTAAATTCATATTCGAACACGAGCTAGAGTAAATAGGAAGATATATATATATATATTTATTTATATATTTACTCCGGCCATATGTAGCAACTGATAACCTATACACTGTAGAGTTTATGGCATCAACATGATAAAAACGTTTGGCATGATAATATGTCAATTTTCAGGTTTTTATTCTGTTTGAGGTTATTCAAACTTTACTTTGATCATTTTTCAATCATCATCTTTTTTATTTAGAAAGTTGTCTCAATGACAAATCATTTTAAAGATGAAAGAATATGTAAATAGAAGGGATTAGTATGCCTTTGCACACTGAAAAGGGTTGTAGTTTTATATTTTATTTGCTTAAATTACTCAGCAAAAAACTAATATAAAGAGTAATCTTTGTTTGAATTTTCTTTTCTTTTTTATTTTGATGTAGTCTTAATATAAGATATCAATCCTTTTTTTGGGCAAAATCTTACAATTAAACCAAGTGAGGAAAGCTCTACAAAAGGTTTTCACACGGCATGCCTTTTCAAGCTTTTAGAGCCTGTATTTTTTTCTTAAAATATTATATAACCCAAACTTGCATCCCCCCCTCATTCTCTATGCAGCGCCTCTTGCTTTTACAATGGGTTTTACCATTTACATTTTAAAGTAATTTATTAATACTGACTTTATAATAAATATTTAGGTAGATTTAAAAATAGCGCTTTATTACCTACGGAATATCATTGCATAGTAATTAAATCAGTCACTTAAAGTTTTCATACATTTTTATGTGTAAAAAAAAACAGGTAAAACTAGCAACGTTTTTTTGCATTAATGCATTGTGTCTCCAAACTTTTGAGAATCCTTTCTTAAGACTGAAAATATTGGCCTTAAAATTGATTCTTTGCCAACTCTTCCTTTAAGATGGAGCCCTGGTCTGGTATGCTTGCTTGCTATATATTGCCTGGTGCAGAGGCCTGGAATTGGCTAGAAATGCACCAGTACTTCTCTAGTTCTCTAGTTCTAGTCGTTTCATACTTTTTATTTCTCTCGTAATATCCTTCATGTGTCGCGGTCTAGCTCTTTGTGCTCTCCAGCCTACCCGGAGTAACTTCTGAACCTCATTTATTCTTTAGCATTAGTTTTCAGAATTAGAAACATTTGTTCCAAATATTTTTCAAGTTTTCTATATTAGACGTTATCAAACTGGTCCACGGAGGTTGGGTGATCAATGGAGAATAGATAGATAGATAGTTGAGGGGCGGAGCTTAATCCAGGCCGGGCCGGCAGGCACTCACGAAGCAACCTGCCCCTCCAGGTTTGGGTGCGCTCCTGCCCAGGTTCGGAGGTAGGTTTCCGACCCTTCACGACTCCTGCCGGAGGAGGGAAGGGGCCGCAAACCTCCTGAAAACCTGGCCCTAGAGACCTGAACCCAGAGATTTAGTCTCATTCAGTAACAAGTGGGACGCTCAGTCTACAGGACGGAGACTCATTAGTACCTCCGGGACATCATCTCCGCTCAATCGGAGTTCCCATCTCTTATCATCACTCCGGGAGTACTTTGAACATTTCAAAAAATAATCGTAGCCTTAATTATCCAACATTAACATAAACACTAAAAAACCAGTTTGTTCACAGGAGAAAATAAAAAAAATCATTCACATTTTCTGGACATGAAAAAGTGATCTAAGAATGCTTGAATCACTGTCAGAGGGCGTTCCCAGGTCTCTGCCCCACCCTACCTACCTAAACATGGCAGGCCTTCCTCCTGTCTTTAACCACATGATGGGGAAGATCTGGGGCCTTAATCTACAGAGGAGCCAGCTTCATCAAGATCAGGAGGAGGATACTAAACAAGGTTGGTTTGAACTTTTTGCAACGCCGGAGAAAAAAAATTATTTATGCTTTAGAACAACATGGATAATCATTATGCTTTAGAACAACATGGATAATCATTATGCTTTAGAACAACATGGATAATCATTATGAGAAAATTAATCTTTTTGTTGTTTGCGTCGACAAAAGAACTGGTTTTGGAATAACAATGGTTGATGGCCTGACACTTTACTTAGCTCTTAATTAACGTAAATAGTTCTGATTCAGTTTTAGTAATATTTTTTAAAATGTCCACTTGCAAAATTAGAAAAGGTTAGTTTACACAGTAAAAAATTTAAAATTATCAAGGATATTTTTGGGTCAATATATTGGATATCAGTTTTTAATAATCACAAAACAATATATGATTTAGATCGGTGCAAAGTTAAGTTTGATAATTCAAAAAAAGGGGGAACGGCTTTTAGATATAACAGAGTTTTTCCTCTCTAAACACTGAAAGATTTAAATTTCTGTAGTTTTAAGAATTTGAAAAATCAAGATTCTTGTGAATTTTTGTGTGAACAAATATTTAGGATAAGGCTGTCACAGGCAGTACTAAAGATAAAAGTTAGTTTGGACAACGTTTTGAAATAATTTGACATTGCCGATACGTACGTTTATGTTTTCGACAATTTTGTACAGTACCTTAAAGTACTATAAACACATACTATATTATGATTAAATTTTTTCGTTTTCTTTTTTATATTAAAATTCCTTTCATCACTATACGCTCACCTAATTAACCCACCATGGATAATCCTGACAAAGCTTTTCAAAGTTTTAATTATGGATGAAGAAAAATATTAAAACTTTCCAATGTTGATTTTACTTTCTCTTGAATCTTTCTTCATTTAGTGAAATCTTTCTAGTTGTTGAAGGTTCACCTGGAGCTATTAGTTGGAACAACAACTTTGTTTTCTTTACTCAGGATACAGGGAGACACAGGGTACAGGATACATTGTACAGGGTAGAGGATACAGGCTTACACAGGGTACAGGATACATTGTACAGGGTAGAGGAGACAGGGAGACACAGGGTACAGGATACATTGTACAGGGTAGAGGATACAGGGAAACACAGGGTACATGATTACAGGGAGACATAGGGCGCAGGGTACAGGGATATACAGGGTACAGGATACAGGTAGACATATTGCACAAGGTACAGGGAGATACATGGTACAGGGTACAGAATTCAAGGAGATACATGAAGATACAGGGTAGAGGATACAGGGAGATACAGAAAAGAGCATACAGTGAGATATAAATTAGAGGACACAGAGAGAAACAGAGTATATAATATACAAAGTAGAGTGAGGAACAGGAAAGAACAGGGTTCAGGATACAGAGAGGTGTTCTTAAGAGTTTTTATATAAATTATTTTCCTCAGTAAACATTTATTTATTCAGAGACATAAATTTGAGCCTAACAGTACACTGCATAGATATCTACAAAATCGATTTTTGAAAATTTATTTAGTATTTTGATTTTCAACTTAACGTAGCTTAGGTTATGAACTTATGATTTGTCCTTACTTCTTGCACACAAAAAGAAAACTGACTTAAATACATTCAAGACGTTTTTTTCTCCCAATAATTGGTGAGCGCTTTCGTCAAAATTAGTTTTTTGTTAACCCTCACCACTCCGACAGACCTCCCCCCCCCCATGGCTGGTAAAAGAGCATATGTGGTTGTAACGTAAGCTATGATTGTTATCAAGGGCTAATTAGTCCGGATTATTATATCATACAACGCACTCGCAGTAGCATTTATTCAATGTTTACAGGGGAAGTTGGGGGGGGGGGGGGCAGTTTAAATAAAATTAGATACTTTTTTTGTGTGTGAGAAATCTTAAACTTTTGAGTTTGTAGAGTTTGACTGATGAACTAACAAAGCAGACCCAGTTTAGAGAAATATATGACTGTTGGTTGAAAAGTATACTCTATTCTGATACAGACAGCAGCTAGAGATCTTATCATTGAAATCTATCCGATACTAGGGCAGAGAAGGGTTACAGGGGATAATGAGTGAACAGAGAAACGGAAGGGGAGAGAGGGGTTATAATAAATAAGAGGATGAATTATGGTGGGCTTTAGCTAGGAAATTTCTAGAATTGAGTAATATGTAACAAGCTTTCATCATTTTCTTATTCTGACCTTTTTCTTCATCATGATGTTATGGGTTGTATTTCTTGGTTCTTTCGATTTTTAATATATCACTTTTCCAGTATATTTGTTATCTATTACCTCGCTTTCATGTTCTTTACATCAGTATCTTGGATTTCCTACTTTCCTGTCATGTCTTTATCATCTATGTTTTCCTCCTGTCCTTCTTTTCTTTTCATCTATTTCATTTTTTGGGTTTGTTAATTTCCTGTCATCAATTCCGTTACCCATCTTCTTCCTGTTCCTATCCTTCTTTTTTCAATTCGTATTCAGTAATTTTTTTTCTGCTTTTCTCTTAAATTCTTCTCATAAATTTCTTTTTTTGAACCCCCCTTCCGTCACCCCCTGGTATCTAGGTATATCCTGTATCCTGCACTAGGACACCATACAACGGAAGTTTGAAATTCGATCTTCTATCATTAAACCTTGCTCCCGTCCTGACCTAGGTATATAGATACCTTCCAAGCCAATTAGCTTGTAAACCCATAAAATCTTGGAAACCCTCCCTTGCTCCCCCCCCCCCTTCCGGAGGGAGTGCTGCTACTAGAGCTCAATGCACTGACCAACACGACCCCTCTTTTCTCCTATTTTACGTTTCTTCTTGTCGATTGTAAAGTAATAAAAGATTTTTTATTGAGACCGATTTCAAATTTGGTTTTTGTTTTGGTGGGAAACTCCACTTGATTCAGCAATAAACCGGTGAGCCACATTTGTCATTGGTCAATGAAGCATACCCTGTCCGAGACAACAATTAATTAAGGCTTAACTTCTTGCGGGATTGGTCAATTAAACCATACCTGCTTGGAATCCGATCCTCTCATTGGTCTATTGAACCATACCTGCCCGTAAATCTGGTTTCTGATTGGCTGGCTCGAACTTACCTGGAGAATTGGTATTGCTCCGTGATTGGCTGTATCCCCCCGGACTGTACCGGACCTTCAGGTATATCCCTGGCTCAGGTTGATATCTCGGAATTTACTCTGGATCGGAGGATGTTTGTTAAACCTCGGTATATAGGTATACATTCATACACGGAGCAAGGATCGGGAATATAAAATCCTCCAAACCTACGGAAACTGGGGAGATGGAAATTATGGGAGGGGGTCATGGTATCTCTGCGCTAACTTTTTTATTTGGATTTAATTTAAGATATATATGTGACTACTGTCTAATGCACATGTTTATAATACATTCATTCCTTTTCATAATTTCAACTTTTGACAAGCTCAGAATTTATTCTTCTTGATGAGAAGTGAAGGAAGGTGCAAAGTCCAAAAATGATTTATTTTGCTTCAAATTTATAAATATTACAGATTTAAAGCAGTTTATTAAACCTTCAGATATACATCTAATTCTAGGAATCTATAAAGGACAAAGGGTGTTGCGCAGTTAAAAATAAACATTATTGATGTTTTTCAATATTGAAAAATCTATCTTTATACCTTTAATGGTTTGAGGTTCCTATAGAGAAGAATCTATTTTGCATTGTAATGGTTTGTATTTATTACAGCAGGGTTCATTTAACAATTTTATACTTCAATCACGTGCTTCAAAACACAAACTTAAAAGCATGAAAAATAAACAGTTTCGTTTTATGAATAACAAATAAAACAAGGTAAATTATATTTATTTTTATGAATTTTAGATTCAAAATATATTAATCGTAATTTTGAATTAAAACTGAAAAATTGATTTTAATTTGGCAAGCTTTGATTAAGACAAAAACGTTTATCTAAAAATCAAATATGTTTGTATCCGAGGTTATGATGAGTTTTCAAGGTTGTTTTAAATTAAGATTTTAATTAAAAGCTCTGTTAAATGTTTCTTTAAAATATACGGGCTGTACTTTTTGAAATGCTTGGATTTGATAATCATTTCGCTTATGAGTGTCATAATTAATTGTTAAAGAAAGAATAAGCAATTCAGAAATTTGTACAAAATAGCTTCATAACCAAAGAGAGACTTTAATTAAACAATCTTTCTTATCACATTTAACTGAAAGAGGGGGGGAGGGCAATGATTTTCATTATATGAAGAACTGAATAAACATTACACCTCTTCTTAAACCGTTAATAAACACACTAAAGGATTAGGGGCCCCAAAATGACCAAGAGAGAGCCCCAAAATGGCCCCATAGTTCAAAACAGGGCAAGGGAGCTCTATAATGATAAAAGATAAGGGTTCATTGACGTTTCTAGTTTGCTATCAGACTTTTAAAAAATCCATTTAATCATTTTGGTGTAACTTTTTTTTCATTCTTATTTTTGTTGAAACTTTGCACGGTTTTAATGTAGAAATAAGAATATTTTTTCCTCCTCAACACACTAAAAATAATTTTATATATCCATTTAGATTAAGCTATAGTATAGTATTTATTAGAAGTTGGAAGAATAAATAAACTGTTTTCTCGTGGGAATATACTGACAATTGTTTATATTGTTTATACCTCTTTAGTAATAGATAATCTATTCGTTCATCCCTTCTCAATCATCCCCCCCCCCCTCCCCCTTCCCTCATCAATCAAACTCCCTCCCCAATCATACCCCATTCTTACTAACTCACTAACATGACCTCTCTCTTCCCCATTTCCCAATTTGTTGTCTCCCATTCCCAGTCCCCTTTCCCCCCTTTCTCTCAGTATATCTCAATTGCCTGAATACCCATATCCTGGCTTTAATTCTTGTTAACTTTAAGATAGACTCCACGCAGTACAAATTCTCTGCAGCTAGACTATACGTAGCAATTACCCCTGCGTAGATCAGAGATCTATAAGTATATATATATATATATATAGACGCAACAATTTTTTTCTGACATGCAACAAACCATGCCAAAAATTTCTCAAGAAGGGAAAATTATTACTTTTTCTCTGTAAAATATTAATAACGAAAATCACGGAACCTCAAGATATATTTTTATTTCAGGTCTCCTGTATGGAAGCAAGGCAGGCCCACTCTCACCCAGTTTAATGTGCCCCACCTCCCTTCCCCTACGCTGTATGCCCAACGCGCCTGGAATAGGTCCGCCCCCTCGTCTGCCCGGACACGCCTACATAACTTGTAACTGCAAAAAAGCATTCTCTTCAATGGCGGAGCTAGAATCTCACATGGCGAGAGTGCATCCAGAGAATGTTCATATTGTAAGTATTAAAGCAAAAATCCAATGATAAAAAATTATCTCAATTTGTGGTTGGTAGAATTTCAGAAATGTCGTTGCATGACAAAATGATTAGAATTTTCTAGGCTTTGGGGTTTTAGATGAAAATTATTTATTTTTCACGTGTTTAAAAGTATTTTCATGTATATCTGGAGTACCTCAATATACCCTGACAGGTTCACTTCTCTACACTTTATTCAGGATTTATGGTCATCCTTCTATTCATCCTTCTTACAGGGGGGGGGAGGTCCTTCTATTCATCCTTCTTTCAGGGAGGGTTGGGATAGAAGTTCATTGAAACTTAACAGTTTTGTTTTGAATACTATATATACGTTATACGAGGACATAGTTGATTTGATAATAATACTAATATAACCGTCCTTACTCAAGTTTTGATCATGTGTGTACCCAGAGGCTGGATTTTAAGAATTTGTGCGGCGGCTTAAATCTGAACTGCGGCTCAAATATGGTTGGTTCCACTTAAAATTGTTTTCAAGATTTAAGCCGACGTTCAATTGAAACCGGTTTTTGGGTGATTTGAGACGCGGCTTAAATTCATTAAATTCGGACACTGATCATTTTATTTTATATAAAGGTGTTATTTAAATACACTCCATTCCCTCTTTTGGCCTTTTACTGAAACATGAAAGATAAAAATGGATTTATTCTTACATAATATTTTTGACAAATTCACAAAATTCCAAAATGAATGGAGTCTTTAACACAAACTTATGAATTTTGTTACATCAAATAATCTAAGTTTGAAATAATAAAATGTTTACACCATCAGATTGCACAGATATAGGGATTATAAAATTTGAGTTTATGGCAAAGACGCAATTCCTTTTCTCATAATTCGTAAATTTTGATTTCATAACTGAGGTTTCTTGAATCGGTCGAAGAAGTGTGCACAAATGTAAGGTTACGAGGTTTATAGTAAAAATGTGTTCAATTAAAAATCCTTATCAATTCTTTAAATCATCATTTTTAACAAATGGATAAAAAAGTTTTAAAATCACATAAGAAAAGGGTACGATTTATGAGGGGTTTGTGGAGTAAAGAAATGTATAATAACGGTATGAGATCAAACCAACTACAATCCAAAATCTAGCTTTTTTTACCTTTCTATATTTTCTAAACTAAAAAGATGTTGGAGGTGTTATTTTCAAAAAGTTAGCTTTGCTAAATTTATTTGAATTCAATTTGCAAAATTTTCCACCTGAAGGCTCCTGACACGAGGGTAAAAAGTTGTAGGTCGGACAGGTTGATTTTCCAGTTCAAGTTCAATTAGTCTAACAAGACACACAAGATATACTAAGATCTAATATCACTTCTTACCCAACTTTTTATCCCTCTCATCAGATATGTTCTATCCTATTTATTCTTATATTTATCAAACCTTACCTCGTCTTTATATTTGAAAAACTTTACCTCGTCTAATGTTTGTTAATCTTTTCATCGTATTTATGTTTTCCAATTTCAGCATTAGATCTATGTTTTCCAATTTCAGCATTAGATCTATGTTTTCCAATTTCAGCATTAGATCTATGTTTTCACCATTTTTACCAATATTGTTATTTTAGCCCTGTTCTCTGTGCAGTAAGCAGTTTCCTTCCCTGGCAAAACTGCACCGGCATATGTCAAACCATCAGGATGGTCCAGATCTTAGAAAATTTAAATGCTGTCATTGCGGGAAAGCATTCAAATTCAAGCATCACTTGAAGGAGCATGAGAGAATTCATACCGGAGAGAAACCATTCGAGTGCAAACATTGCGGCAAAAGGTTTTCTCACTCCGGGTCCTATTCCTCACATACCACTAGTAAAAAGTGTTTGGTAGGAGGGCGGGGAAGAGGAGCTCCACCCACATCAGGATCGCCAACCAAGGGGATGAATCTAACCAAACCAGGACAGCCATCTGCCTGGTCTGCGTACAAGCCAGAGCCTAGGCCTTCCTTCCCAAGCCCCTCCCCGGACCATCTAGCTGCCCTTCAATTGTCTAGGTTTACTCCCCCCTCGCATCAGAATCCGTTTCTGCTCTGGGCTTCACAGAACTATCATCTAAACCGTAACCCTGCAACACCCCTTGAACTAAACCTTCAAGAGCAACTTCACAGACTTTTCCAATTTCGGTCAGAGCTAAACAGTTCAGATTTATCCAAGACGGAGGAAGGACAACAGTTGAAACCAACCCTGGATTTCCCAAAGTGCGAGGAGAGACCTGTATCTCCCCCAAGGATGGATGAAAACTCGCCCAGGGATAGGAAGATTGTAGAGTCGGACTCTTCTCTGACTATTAAAACCGAATCTGAATTTAGAGTCGCGGATAGCCTCAGGGATAGTTTCCCTGATCCTCAACATTTCCAGCTGATTAAACATGTCCTAGAGGGGGTTAACCAGAACAGTACTAAGAAGACCCTGGAGATGAATGGGATGACGGAAGAAGAACAGTACGAAGACAGCCTAGGGAGTGAGGAAGGAACACAAGAGGAGAGAAAGGTTCGAGTTCGAACCTTGATCTCAGAAGAGCAACAAATCGTCCTAAAAACCCATTATCAACGAAATCCGAAACCCAAAAAAGAAATTTTGCTAGAGATTGCCGCACAAATCAGACACCCTTTCAGAGTTGTGAAAGTCTGGTTTCAAAACATGCGTGCACGGGATCGAAGAGAGGGTAAGCATGTTCCTCAACTTCAGTTCCCAACTGGACATCCAGGATTCTTAAACAATAATTTTTCACTGCATGGTCTACATTCTCTCCCTCATCCTCTCATCCGAACAGGATTAAGCCCCCAGCTTAATCCTCTCTTCCCGTTTCACTCCTTAAGCATGTTCGAACCTCCCAAGACCCCTGAGAGCAGTCGGTCTGAGAATAACGAAGATGATCTCGATGATGAGGAAGATGAGGATGAAGATCAGGATGAGGTACACAGTGATGAGGTTCCTCTTGATCTCTCAAACAAAGGTTCAACTCCTGGAAACTCTCCAGACAGAGAGGATATAGATCCTGAGCATTTATCAAAACTCCGATTCAACGGATCCCAAAATTTTTCAAGTTCTGATGAGGAGGAGGGTGGAGAGCCCCGGCCCTGTCCCCACTGCAGAATGGATTTTACAAGTCGATGCTCTCTTATAGCTCATATTATGAATCATAGTGGTAAGCAAAAAAAATAATTAATTAAGAATCTTCAATCATTTTTCAGCACGTTGAATATTTTGACTTAAATTTCATCTTTTGTCCATCAATTTTCATATTATTGATTTCATACAATCTAAAAATAAATATTTACTATTTGATCAACTCAAAATAAAATTTTAAGTTTCTCCTTAAATGCATCACTTAATTTTATTTTATTCTATTTCTAGATCATAGATCGAACCAATGCGATGTATGCGAGAAAGCATTTACACCTATGCATAAGATGTTAGAACAAACTAGACTTGAAAACACATTCTCGAATGCTAAGACAAACCTAAATCAAAATAATAGAAGGTATATAAATATATTTCTTTAGATCTAACTTTAAACATAACTTCATTTATCAAACAATATTAATCTTATTATTTTACTTTTTTAGATTTAAATCAAATTTACCAGCAGAAGAAGGACCTGTAAACTCTCCACCTACCTCCCCTGCCCCCAAAGTTCCTAGTCCACTCCCCCCAACCCTTATTCATGGATCCAACCTTGTCCCTGGATCCAACCTTACTCCTGGATCCAATCTTACTCCTGGATCCAACCTTACTCCTGGATCCAATCTTACTCCTGGATCCAACCTTGTCCCTGGATCCAACCTTACTCCTGGATCCAACCTTGTTCCTCCAACTTAAAGAATTCTTCTTACGACTTCAAAATACAAAATGTGTAAATAATATTGCAATAGTTTTGTGAATTTAGTCGGGAAATGGTTCTAGATTGTACACTTTTCTTATTATATTTAAATTCGGGATGAGAGGTTTCGGTCTAGAATAAAATTCTAATATTTAGCGCACCAATGAACAACTAAAAATAAATTAGAATCAATGTATGTATACAAAATATATGTAAATGTAACGGCTAAAAATCCTTCTCTAATTTTTTACATAACTTGTTTGTGTTAACCAATTTGATGCAAAAATGAGGGAATTAATTGAATATTTAATATTAATATTTTTAGCCAACAAAGAAATATACTCCCATCCCCATTATTTACACTTTAACTCTCAACAAATCCTAGTATTAAACCCTTATTCACTATTCAGCCTTTTAAAAAACATCCCTCTGAATCCCTTCTCTTTTAGCTTACCCTGTATTACATCACATATTTTCTCTTGAAATAATATTAATAGTATTGACGAGACACCCTGTACAAACTGGAGATCTGAACTTTATGTACACTTTGTACATGATTATTAGTCGTAGACATTAATTGTAATTATTGTACATAAACTGTATAGTGTATATACAAACATAATGTTAAAACATGCACAATTGTTCAATAGTCAAAGGCTTTCATAAGGTCAAAATGTAAACAGCTTAAAACTGTATATAACCAAAATCTTATTAGTTATTTTGATTCCTTTTTGGTTTGAAAAGACCTTGTAGTTCAATATATACCTCGTTTAATCTTAAAATGTTCCATACATGACATTCTCATGGTGGTCTTAACTAAACCTTTCGTCATGCTTTCAATTCTTGATCTAAGGCTTTCTTCTCTTTCTCTTCACATCCTTCGATTTGTTGAATCTTGGAATAAAAAATAAAAAATTTATTCGTTTTCTAGCTACATTAAAAGCTATTTTCTTGTTCAAAATTGTAATGTACTTTCTTGATTCGTTTTTATAATTTAGTAATGTAGTTTCTTGTACACGTTAAACAGGATATAATTACATTGCACGGCTTTCATGCAGTAAATTGTACAGCTGTTGTATATAATTAAAAATGTACAACCTATACGGCCGCTAAAGCATCATGATTTACCATATGTACATAATAGGTCTAAGATTTGTTAAAAATTCTGTGATAAAATTTTCGACCTATAATCTGAAATGTTTGCATTTTCTTGGGTCTCTGACGCATAATTTGCTTAGGAGCATCTAATGAGTAATTATACGCCTATTCTGAAAGTGAAAGGCTGTTAGAATGCGTATTATGTATTTTTGACGCAAATTTTTGCGTATATTGTCGAGTATTTTGATTGTTACTTTAAATCAATAAATAATTTATTAAGAAAAATGTTGATTTCTTCCAAAACGCTACGAACTAAACATAAGCCAAATTAAGTTTCCAATTTAAACGAGAAATATTTTTTGCGAGATTACTTATTGACTTTGTTACTTTTCTGCACCCAATCCAGATGGAAAAACGAAAACCTCCCGTTTAGTTGCGCGCGTATAAATAATTAACTCATAGCTCTTCAAACAAAATATATACCTGAAAACTAAAATAAAAGAGAGACATCCATGCAATTCAAACGGAAAGTTATAAGCTTGACTTTTCGAGGATTTTCTGCTATAAATTTCTTTTCGATAGACAATAGCATTTTAAGTTTGAATTATTGATTCCTTTCATAAGTGTAACCCTGGCCTTAGCTTTCGGCGAGCAACATTTCATTTAAAGGGAGTGTTCGCGAAAAATGAAAGGGGGTAAAGGCTTAATGCGACAAAAAAGCGCGTTTGATCGCAACTCATATTACTTCTATCTGCTGCGTCTATAAGAAGAAAATTGTTAAAGACGTCTCATACCGAATAACTTAGCGCCCATACAAATTGAGAAAATTGCAACATACTACTTAGACCGTAAAAAATCAATTTAATATCAAACAAATCATTCAGATAGTACAACCTATAGTTATCGATTATCTTTCGCCACATTTGCATATAGTTTATATTTTATAATATTTTCTTTTTTTAGAAAGCGTTTTCAACGAATTCGAAAATTGTGAGTGGTGTGCGGCATTCTTAGATAGTTGCGCAAGCGACAAGAGAAATAAACAAATTAATTCAAAAATATTATAAAATATAAACTATATACAAATGTGGCGAAAGATAATCGATGACTATAGGTTGTAAATTCTGAATGATTTGTTTGAAATTAAATTGATTTTTTTACGGTCTAAGTCGTAGTTGCAATTTTCTGAATTTGTATGGCCGCTAAGTTATTCCGTATGAGACGTCTTTAACAATTTTCTCCTTTTAGACGCAACAGATAGAAGTAAGATTAGTAGCGATCAAAAGCGCTTTTTTATCGCACTAAGCCTATACCCCCTTTAATTTTTCGCGAACACTCCCTTTATAATATGTTGCCACCACTGCGAACTAGACAGAAGTAGAAAGTAACATTCATGGATGAATAAGAGTTATGAACCCTTTGAAACTATGAACTATAGCCATATTCTTAACCCTACTCGGCCTGGGGAAGGGGGGCAATTTGGCCCCCCCCCCCCCAATGCAATAGTTTTTTGCGATAACTCAAAAAGTGTTTAAGCTAGGAAGCTCAATTTTTTTTCATGCCCCTCAAATAAGGCTAAAAGGTGGGTTTTTATACCTACTGCCTAAGTCCTCAGGCATACTGCCTTTTTACCTATACCAGACCTAATTTATATTTAGACCTACTTCCAGTCATTGGATTTCAACATGTCATAGTCCCATAGCAAAAGCAAGCATATTGCACAATTTTTGCAAAGAAATTTTGCACAGTTTTTTGCACAGACGCCTTTAAAGGGAATTTTCACATTTTCAGTTTTTCTTAAATACACATTTTGGTTTTAAAAAATGTATAATTTGTTGCAATTTGCGCAATTTTTTTGTTGCACATTTTTTTGCATTATTACTAAATTTCGCAATAAATTATTGGATTTTTGCAAATTTGCTTTTTTTTACAGATTAATGAAATAGAGCCCAAGGGCTTTCCAAAAACGTATCAAATGTTATAGATTTGTACTGCAATAAGAAAATAGAGGGGGGGGGGTTCATATCCCCCCCCCCCCGGCAGCCAGTCAGTAAAGTAGACGTCAGGCTAAATAGGGTTAAATTTCTCCAAACTAATGACTTTTATAAAATAGATAAAAATCAAGTTATAGCGCGCGTAAGTGGAGAATGGATAAAAATATTTTTTAATGGTCATTTTTTTACAATTAATACATTTTTGATAAAACTTAATTATTTTGATAACATGGGGTCGGAATTAAACTATGATAAGGAAAATACTGCTCGATGCATCGTGAGCCAGCCAGGTTATAAAGAACAAGGAGATTTTAAAACATTTTTATCGGATTTTTTGGCTTTTACCTCCTTTTATAAAATCGTATTCCTAACAATTCTCCTTGTTATACCCAGCATTGAAAAAATGTGCTTTTTTTGCTCAGCATTTAAAGCTTTTTATGGTTGGAATAGCTCCTTATACACTTCATTCTACCCAGGTTCCCATCAAACAAACACACACACACTATACAAACAGGGATAAAAAAGCTTTTATCTTTCTTCAATTCTTTGTTATTGTTTTCTGTGGTATAGAAGTTCGAGGGTGGGATAGCAAATCCTATATAAATGTGAACAGAAAGAAGAAGAATGGCTACACTTAATACTGTTTTCAACGAATTACATTTGAACCCAATTTAGGTCTTGATCCAGCAATTAGAGATCTAGTTTCTTTTTGAACTGAATCGGGAATATCTGATCAAGTTTCTTGTTCATCTGTTTCAATCCAAATAGTGAAGCAAAATTATGCCCAAAAAAATTTGACAAATGTTTTAAATATTCTAAATCAAATCGGAGATATCACCATCATCAATACCCAGATATGTATTTAAAAAATACTTTTTATCCCGATTGATACATCATAAACCAATTGCATAAGTAATGTCCCCAGTGACTATCGTAACTAACCTGAAAAAAGCATGTTTATCTACACATAGGAAGGGGGCAGGAGTTTACAGCTGTAATTCTATTTTAAACAATAAAAACCACACTAAGCCTTAGCAATTACTCCACACTCTAAAGGTTCTGCTACCCCACCCTCGTTCTTTAGCTCCCTGTCCAGAAATGAAGTATTGGACATTATACGGAGCCAGCCATTAGAGTAGAGACAACAATAGGAAGCAAGGCCTTCTAACCCATCATAATCAATTCCTCAATCCATGAATATATAGATAATATATACTCATCCGTCTTTCAGGGATGGATGGAGACCTGGCGGGATGAAGATAAAAAAGTAGTGCGTGTACGTAAACTACATTACACATATTTTATGGTTATGAAAAAAAATATCAAAATATGAATGGAAATATGAAAGGATGAGCGCAAAAAGGTTAAAAACAAACAAAAAGAAGAGAGGGTGGTGTCCATATAAAATAATGAATGGGATAAAAGAATATGTGCAATAATATAAGGGTGAACACTGACCACGAAGATGAAAGGATTAGTGTAAAGATGAAAGGATAAATGTAAAGATGAAAGGATGAGTGTAATAATAAAAGAATAAGTGTAAAGATGAAAGGATGCGTGTAATAATAAAAGGATAAGTGTAGAGATGCAATTATGAACATAAGGAATAAGAATGAAAAGATTAGTGTATAAGATAAAAGGATTAGTGTAAAAATGAAAGGATGAGTGTATAGATGAAAAGATGAAAAGATTAGTATACAGATGAAAGAATTAGTGAAAAGATGAAAGGAAATGCAATTATGAACGTAAGGAATAAGAATGAAAAGATTAGTGTAAAGGTAAAAGCATTAGTGTAAAGATGAAAGGATAAGTGTAAAGATGAGAGGATAAGTGTGTGTAATGCAATCAAATGGACTGCCCTACTTTTCAAAGGATCTATTCAGTACCTCTACATATTGCTTGGATACAGCTGAACAGACTAAAACCCTGGCTACTTATCACCCTATCCATTCTCTCCAAGTAAAGGCAAGCATTTAGTTTCAAAGGTTCAATCTACAAAGAAAGACCTCCTTTATTTGTAGAATAATACGAATATCTTTAAAAATGAACTATATACAATCTTTGGATATCATTTTGTAAAACAATAAGATTTTGTCTCGGCGGAACTATATACAAAACAATAGACCCCGTCCTTTTGTATTTATGGACTAAAACATAACAAATCGAATGCAATTTGGTCCACCCTGCATATCATAAAATATAGGCCAAACCAGAGTAACACAATC